CTCGCATGACTGCCCCGCACTTCCCTCTAGAGATCTCAATCTCGCGGAAAAATCAGCCAAGTGTGAGAGACAAGGGAGGTTGCTCGGTCCTTTTTTGGGGATCTGACTGACTGAGTTCATGACGACATGTCCTGTGTCAACTAGGGCAAAGGGGAAAGGTTAGCGCGCAAAATGGAGAGATGCGAGCAGTTAGTCACAAAAAAGAGACGCCGGCTTTCGCTGAAGTCTGAAGGTTTGCGCGCAAAATAGAAAAGGGAACAATGGCTGAAACGAAGAAAATGTCGTTCTTTATGAAAATTGAATAGAACGGAAGACACACACATAAAGTTAAGCTTAACGCTTGTCTGTTTTCTATGATTTTTTAAAAATCGTTCAATCAGTTTGAAAGGGGAAATCGTGGGATTATCCTTTGGGTCACTTCTTTATCATGTTAAAAAAATCTACATGAGCAATCGTAATTTTACTCACGTTTACGTTTGTTTGCAGTTTTCTATTTTTAAAAAAATCTTTCGATCAATTTGAAGGGGGAAAAAGAGGTATATTATTCTTTGGGTCATATCCTTATCATGTTAAAAAAATCTACATGAGCAATCATAATTCTACTCGCATTTATGTTTGTTTTCAGCGTGTACATGTGTGTTTGTCCAACTGTGACACCCATCTGTACCAGACAGATGGACAGAGAAGTATTCCTATCCTTTTATCTTTGCCTTTCTTGACGTTTTTTATTCCTGTACTAAAGGACAATTAATTCTTTCTATTTATTGATACGATTTTTTGTTAACAATGCCATTTTGTAAACGACCAATTAATAAAGATTTCAAGAATACTGAGATTGTTTGTGTGTTTTATAAATCATTTTGTTCCTATTGGCTTGTTGTTTCAATTCAACTCTTTTACAACATTTCGCCAGTACGCTGGCAACAGGCATATTTATATGTTTGCGATTAATGCCTTAATATGGTGATAAAACATAGTACTATCAGTAGAAAAGAAATCTTGCCTTCTCTTATTCCTATTCTTAATTCTTATTAAGCTTACGTGTATAGTGGGCTATTATTACATGTGTAGATTCTAGTGGTCAGGGCGAGGTTTTCCCTGTCAACACTACAGTGACCTGTGAGCTTGAAAGGACTTATATTATAAGATCCTGGGAGGAAAGATCTTATGGAGAGAGATCTTTCTCATATCTTGGTCCATTTATGTGGAACAGATTACCCATGAAACTAAGACAAATAAAAACACTTGATAGCTTCAAAAGACATCTTAAACATTTTCTGTTCCTACAGGCCTATCCTTCATAAGCTTTTAACGTATTTTTCATTAAGTTGTTCTGTTCCTATGTCTGGATGAAGATAGTCTGTGTGCGCGCGCGCATGTGTGTGTGTGTGTGTGTGTGTGTGTGTGTGTGTGTGTGTGTGTGTGTGTGCATAAATATATATTGCGTGAGAAGAAAGGAAGTAGTAAGAAACGTTTTCAAAATGGGTATTCCAATGTAAAGCGCATTGAGCTACTTTTTTGGAAAAGCGCTATATAAATGTTTTATATTATATTAGTATTAAATGTTATATATCATTTTTATTAAAGGGGAGAGACTGTGGGTCTGTTTTAAATAAAGTTGAACTTGTCTAAGGCGACCACCCATGTATTGTACGTCAGAAGAAAAGTGGTGTAATCCTCTTGGACACAGTCATGTACATGTAATAACAGCCTATTTTTAAAAATACATTCTGAAAAAAAGAAGGAAAAAAATACCCCAACCCGCAAAGGGGGACGTGGGAATTAGTGATCGTCTATACAGCTGGTGGTGTTTGTCCTAACCAAGTGGTCGTTAGAGCAGGTTAGTGGGAGGTTGGCGGGTGCTCTGGTGTGGTTTGCTTCTTCTTTCCTATCAAACATCTGTCATCCTTATCTCCCCTCCTTCTTTTTTATGTTTGTTACTCTCTTGTTACACCTCTGATCTTCTGGCGCTCATATATAAATTCTCATATGACCTTATGCAGTTGCGAGCGCCGTAAAACCTCTAGTAAAACAAGTAAAACAAGTAAAACAGAGCAGGTTCCACAAATAGGCCTACATGAAAATTATACTTAGGCCTACTGTCTCATGACAACTCGGGGGAGGCTCCCGGATGTATGAGGATCCACAGATTAATTATAGCCTAATTATTATGCCTATTATACTTGTCTAGGCTCCTCCAACTTTCAAAGTCCGCCAAGGCCGCACCTTTTTCGATTCAAACCAGGATCTTGCTGGCAGTGGTCCAGTGACCACCATCATAATGTAATCATTATCTAATAATAATAATAATAATAATAATAATAATAATAATAATAATAATAGTAATAATAATAATAATAATAATAATAATAATAATAATAATAATAATAATAATAATAATAATAATAATAATACTAGTAATAATAATAATAATAATAATAATTGCATTTACAGAGTATATCCCGCTCTACAGCCTGTTCTATGCACTTAACAACCGTACGTACGTAAGGTTTAGCTATTCATTTTAACAGCCTCCCTGTTCTTTCTTAGTTTACTTAAAGTTTGTTTGACAAATCGTCGGTATAAAGTAAACTATTCAGATGTTCTAAGCCCATAAAGCAATATTTTTCAAGAAAGGGAAAAATGTTTCATTCTTTGACCCCCCCCCCCAAAAAAAAAAAAAAAAAAAAAAGAAAAGAAAAATAGAAAAGAAAGAAAACCCAAGAGAAAACAGGAATGACAGACGGTATCAATCATTCATTGTATCTTTCCTTGCTTTTTCCAAACGGCCAATATAGAATTTGAATTTCTGCCAAATATTTTACTATCACACGTAACCGATACCACTAATCAAGATATTGCAGTGACAAAATAAAAATCAAATCAAATTTTGAGCTTATAGAACGTCTGAACAGCTAGTCCACTGTATTATTTATTATGCATTTTCTAGTAGCTTTTATATGTGTGGAAATTTTGTCCTCTCAATTCAAATGTGCATCTTCCCTTGTTTTTTAGAAGAAAAAAATTCTATGGAACTTGTCCGGAATAATTTTTTCCAAAGGTTGGTGCTTTTTTACGTCCTCATCGACACATTATACTGTCCCCGTGGTTTTATGCACCCCGCATAATTTAGCAGAATTTGATCGTTTTTTTTTCCTCATAATTTCTTATTATTTTCCTTTATCATTCTTTGTTTAAATTAACAGAATCGCATAACTTCATATTTTTGGGCTCAGTTCGCATAATTTCATTTTTGTGTGTGCATAAAACCACGGGGACAGATTATAGATCGCGGGCTTCGACCCTGCCTCTTATAAGTTATAGGGTCAAGCTGGGCCAAGAGGTATACGACGTCCCAGTAGATAGACTGAGGTACAGTTCTCAAAACTCCGGTTTTCTATCTGGGATGGTAAAGTGCATACATTTAGATCTATATACAATATAACTGTGACACAGCTGACATTGGAACATAGCTCTTTAAGTTTTCTTCCTTGATGACCACGATTGTAGCTTTGATTGTAGTCAGTATAATATTAGGGCCCACAATCACTATAAAAGTTTAGTAGGAACCTTGGGTTCTTTTAGTTTTAGTAAGAGTTTTACAGCACTAGCAACATAATAGGGTCATATAAGTGCCACAGAATAGAGGTGTCACAAGAGAGTTTTTGTGTGTTTTAGTAGAGGTTTTATGGCGCTCACAACTGCATAAGGTCATATGAGCGCCAGAAGATTAGAGAGTAACAAACATAAAAAAGAAGGAGGGGAGATAAGGACGATAGATGTTTCATAGGAAAGAAGGAGCAAACCACACCAGCTGGTGTTCCCTGTTCTCTGCTCCACAAAGATTTCTCTTCACACGCCAACCAGGCCCAAATTTAAGGTCGGTAGAGGGTGTACATCCGCTTATTTAGAGTAACGTTTGAGTAAAGAGAAGCACATCGGCACAATAATGGTCAGTCAGTGCTGAGAAAGTTTTAGTTTTAGTAAGAATTTTACAGCATTTGCAACACAATAATGTCATATAAGTGCCGAAGTTTGAGAAAAAGTACGACAGACAGAGAGAAGCAACAGCAGGAAAGTAGAGAGACATAGGACCTACCAGTGGCACCCTCCAACCACCCACATTAGCTAAAGTAAGAGTTTCAGGGCACTTGCAGCCTAAATAGGTCATAGCATAAGTGTCAAAGATTAGAGATGTTACAAGAGAGTAACAACATACAAAGATGTTACCAGAGAGTAACAACATACAAAGATGTTACCAGAGAGTAACAACATACAAAGATGTTACCAGAGAGTAACAACATACAAAGATGTTACCAGAAAGTAACAATATACAAAGATGTTACCAGAGAGTAACAACATACAAAGAAAAGAAGCAGGAGAGATAAGGAAGATAGATTTAGTTTAGTTTTAGTAGAGGTTTTACGGCACTCGCAACTGCATAAGGTCATATGAGCACCAGAAGATTAGAGGTGTTACAAGAGAGTAACAAACATAAAAAAGAAGAAGGGGAGATAAGGACGATAGATGTTTGACAGGAAAGAAGAAATAAGCCACACCAGAGCACCCGCCAACCACCCACAGGAATATAGATGTTTGATAGAAAAGAAAAAGCAAACCACATCAGAGCACCCACCAACCATCCACATCGTACACCAACAGAAAAAAAAGAATAAATTAAAAAAATTAATTTTCAACAACAGACTTTTTCATAGAACTTATCACAAACTTTTAATGGTAATAATTGTCCAGTATTGCACATAAGAGCAAAGTAAACATCACACGTTCGCAGGTCAGGGAAAAAGACCAACACATCAAAACACATATATATTAGTACAGGTACCGATACTCAAACAAACACAATCACACTCTCGGCGAGGTCTTCTCCCTCATTTTGCCAGAGCACCCGCCAACCACCCACAGTCTTTCATTTGCGAAATAAAAAGGCGTTAAAATCCTGATCAAGATTACTCCTTCAGTGTGGATTCACATACATACACCTCCCAGTTTCGCTCAAATCATGACGATCACAAAGGCACTTCATAGTGGAGATAACATTTTTGTTCTTAAAACATGGGAAAATGACAAAGAACATTAAAAACCATATCCGTAAAGTAGAAATACCTCATTATTTTTTCACAATGAAAGTGCTGGGTATCAGTTTCAAAACAGTCAAGTGGGAATGAAAACTTCCAAGCTAATTAAATTAAGATATTCCACGCTTAAAATGAAGTACGGTAAGTAAAAATAGAAAACCAGAACCACCCTCCCCTTAAGACCAAGACATATTTCTCACTGTGAGATGAATAAAGATAGTCATTGTCATTGTCAAAAAAAAAAAATGAATCCATCAAAAACAACTCATGTGCCTAAGTCTTAAGTTGTCAATCAAAGTAGGCCTACATGACCAGACCAGCAAGACAAAACCCCCACACAAGTTAAATGTTGGGAGGCATTATTCCTATCTTGTCGGCATTCTGTTCTTATAATATGTAGACTACTACGCCCAGAAATCAAAATTTTTCTGGAGAGAAAAAAAAACACGATCTCATTCTTCTGACAAATAAATGTACTAACAATGTATATTTTTATCATGTTTTTTCATATATTGAGACACTGATAAAATATTTCTTGAACATACGCAACCCATAACATTTTTATTCAAAATAAAAAGAAGAAATGGACTTAGAACAAATGAACGGCTGACGGATGGTTTGTCTGGGAGTCACAACCACAGACAATATAATGAATTAATTGTCTATCTTTTCCGGAGCTGTCAAAAGGAATGAAAAGATGAAAATAAAAATGAGTGAGAGAGAGGCATAGAAAGAGAGATAAGCATTGAGAGAGAGAGAGAGAGAGAGAGAGAGAGAGAGAGAGAGAGAGAGAGAGGGAGAGAAAGAGATAGAAAGGGGGAAACAGAGAAAGAAGAAGAGGAAAAAAGATACTTTTTCCCAACAAGTCACTATGATATAATGGATTTCTGGGTGATTACTTCGTTGTAAATGTTCCATTTCATGACGAGGTTGAAAAAAAATCAATCTGTCATTTGCATAACTTCTGTACACAACGTGTAACTGGACTGTGTCGACATGTGTCAAGCAAAAAGGTGATGTAAAAAAGGACAATATGTACACATGAAAGCAGAGAGCAAAGACTGTAACCCTGAGAAATCATAAAATGTCAATGCAAGCGCTTTTTTTTATAAACGACAATATGATGACAGATGGACAAATGGTTTAGTTTACATCTGACATGAATTTTTGTACATATTTACGTTGTGAAAACCATTTAGAAAAATACCAGTTTCAAACCAGTATGTGATCTGTGAGGTTACAAAATAGCTTTTGTTTTGAGAATGGCAGCCCAGCCGAAAGTAAGAAAAGACTTTTGCTGTTGATCCATAGAAAAACTGTTCTTTGGAGTTCATGATGAATAAGTATGAATAATAAAAGGGGATAGAAACATGAAGTCTGCTTTGCGTCTGGACAACACCACAATATTTGCTGAAAAGTCTTTTCATTAAATTTCAATGCGAAAGACCGGAAACATACGCTACCATACTACTGTTTTGATATAGGCCAAAACTAAGAATTCCGTTACAAAAGTATCGTAATAGTTCAAAAATCTCGCCAGCGTTCGGTACCAATAAAAAAAAAAAATTCTAGCCAGAAAAAAAGTGAACTTAATCTTTAAGCATAAAGAACAACACACAGCACAGCACTATAAAACAGGGAGCTGACTGGCAAAGGGTTAACCAACACAAACTAGAGAATATAAAAAAAGTCCACAGAAAATTTGAAGCGTTCATTTTAGAAATTGCATAAAAAGAAAACCGCGGTACCATTATCAGTAAATTGATGGTGTATCACAGTCTGGTTTACAGAATCATTGTTTAAATCTTAGATAAAATTACAAATTTATAAAATACTTCATCACATTTCCCCCCCCCCCCCCCCCCACTTATTTCAAACTGAAGAGACAATTTTGGTGGAAACACCCATTGCATAAGTGAAAATGTGACACTTTCGCTAAGGAATGGTAGTGTTCTTTTTCTGGAAAGATACACAATATGAACTTGTGTGGTTGATATGTGGTGGGACAGCCTGGAATGCATTTGCCGGGTTTGATGTTTTACTCTTACACACAACCTGTTTCACTATCATCATACAATGTACAATTCTTCCAGAAGTTAAAAACTTGAGATTCAGTAAACTACATAAAATAAAATCACATAGAGTTATATTTTTCATTGAATATCTTTTTTAAAAGAATCTTTGACAAATTCTTCATCACAATACCCAAACGGCACCAATTTGCGGAGTGGGTTAATGGCACGTTGATAATAATGAGGAGCTGATAGAAGGCCACCGTAACACAGAGGGGAAGCGTGTAGGAATTTTTCCCAAGCTTGATAGAAACACAGAGAAAGGACAAGATGGACATAACCACAGAAGAAAGGTCAGGATGAAGAAAGTGGATAAAGAAAAAAAAGGTACACGTGGAAGGGAGGACCCATCAAACAACACACTGAGGCAAGGATTCGTGGTTAAAAGATGACGTCTGCATGGCGACCTTTCACAGCACATTCCACACATCAAATGGAAATCCATCACGAGCAAAAGAAAGAAAAAAAGTAATTAACAAAACATTAATATATAGAAGTTAACTGTAAATTTGAAGTGAACTTTTTAGAAATTTTTAGAAATAAAATAGGACAAACTGGAATGAATATTATGTTGTGAAATGAAAATTCAATTTGGCTTGCAATAATTATCAATGGGTGAACTGAATTTGATCTGAAAACATTGCAAACTGCACCATTTCTTCTTTGTCTTCATTGTCCTTTTTTTACACACTGTTACTCCATGTCTGAGCACCACAGTTCGCTCTCCGATACAACCGGCGTTTTTCCAACTGGTACGCTGAACACAAAATTTTCGGCATGGCAGTCCACTGAGAGTTGAGAATGCAGCCTTTGATGGTAAGGAACACTTTCTGGAATTTTCTCCACCCACGACAGTCTTCCCTCAAAGTTAAGTAGATTTCAAAGGTAGGATTCGTCGATGAATTTCCAAACACAGTGGCAACTTTACGAGATTTGTCCTTCTCTGCCAACAAAATGTTTATGACACAGCCACGAACACCGCACGGCTCGGCAGCAGACATTCTGATCACATCTTGTGAAATGTGGGACATCAGCTCAGAGGGGAAAATAATTCGACACTTCAGTTCTTTCTCGAAAGTGTCCTTGACGGCAGCTTCTATCTCCGACATGATGCCCTGGCAACTCTGGAATTCCACCGTGTCGCTGAAGTCGCCGTAGTTGTTCATGTTCGGGTCTTTTTCATCTGGTGAAAGAAAAAGAGAAAAGAAATGCATACGTTAATGTTGTTCAACACAATAAATAAAACACAGAAAGGACCATATGTGTCACAACAAGGTGGTATCAGGCACTCGTCAATATTTGGGCACACGAAGTGATGGGTATACTAGAATTTCAAAGTTTGTTAATTTTTCTTGCTTTTGATGTAAGATAAATACTCATCTATTTGAACAGAAGTTGAGATATTTGTGACTGAAGGAGGTTTGGGGGGGGGGGGGTGTGCCCGGTGTCAGAGGTAAAATTAGTGAGAAAATGGTTGTTCAAGTTACATATAGATTCTATATCACAAAAAATCTATCTTGTCAGAAAGGACTTCCTGCATGTTTTCTATATTTTTAAACATGTCTTATAAACATTATCTGCCAGCTCAAATATGATGCTTATTATCCTACATCAGGGGTCACCTAGCCTTTTCCAAAATGGGACAGATAACGGACAGAACGCCAAGTGCAGACCGAATAACTATTTTGCTCAATAGGCTACAATAGTCAATAAGCTAAGTAGCCTACATAAAAAGTAAAGACAACAAAACCCACCTATAAATTTATCACTATGTTACACTATACACAAAATACCACAAAATAAAAAGATTACACCACATAAAGCCATCACATTGTATGGTACATACTCCCATGGTGGCATGGTGGTAGGCCAGATGAATTGCCCCAAACAAAAACTGAACACATTATTTTGATGTCTTTTAGGCTTACAACTTTGAACAAAGAATCATATTGTAAAATATTGCTTGTAACAGCTAGATCTAATCTAGTTCTAGATCTAGATCTATATCTAAATCTATATAAAGCCATATTTTATAAGCCAAGGGCTTTTGGCTTTCACTTTCAATAGTTGCAAATAAGCAAATATTTAATTTGTAACTCAACCTCCACACCAGTGTCATACAATCATACATATTTATGTCTCTCAGAGTCCTTATGGATTCTAGCTACAAACAAAAAAGCATACCCGCACCATGAATCATAATTCCCCCCCTCAACCTTACCTTACTTTTAACTACCGGCAGCCACAGCAGACGACGAACGACTGTGCAAGCGGCGTTGGTTAACCTAGGCTAGCCCCAAAAGACTTATGACAGATGACTCAACTTGAGTCTAAATCTAGATCTAGACTCAAATTACACATGATGTAACACTTACCCAGTTTGGATTTGTGTTTCTCGTGCTCAAAATCAGTCTCTATTATGAGCGAGTAGTCAGGGCCCGTTTTAGAACCTTCTAAGAGAGACTTCATTGCTCCTTTCAAGCGGTTCGTAATTGTCTCCACGTCAAACATTTTTCGAATCTTGCCGTTGATCTTGAACTTGACTGACGTCTGATCGATCGTTGAAATAAAGGAAACACTTCGGGGGTGTGTCCCTTCTGCACTTCACAGGAAAACAGAGAGGAAACTGAGACACTGACTTTCGTTACCGCTACACATTCCCTTTTTCTCCAAGTAGAACTGTCAGGCCTAACTGTTCAACTTTCCTCAACTGTCAACTGATGTGCGGTGTTTCGGCAGCGGATCCTGCTTTTATCCTGTCCTCGTCTCACCCCGCGCCGTGAACAGCTGATCGCCGCTTCTCCCGAGATAACAACTTGACACCGCACTGCTCGACTACACAGTGACGAGTATCGAGTATAATTAGCCGACCGATTACTTTGCCTCTTTTTCAGGAGAATAAACTTGGAAAATGTACGTTAAAAAAATCTCGCTGCATATTAGGCCTATAACATTTTAAGCATTTTCTCCACAGTGTAAATAGAAATTTTAAAAAGTTAAGGCAGTTTATAATTTGTATTGATAGATCTTTAGCATGTTGAAACAATCAGTTTTTCGTTCGAGTATCGACACGAAAGACAAATACTTGAGCACAATTGGCGGAACGATCTCCCCCTCTATGAGACAACCAATCATTTTTCTCGCCTAGTGAGTGAAGGTCAACTGGTGGCATTCGCTTATTTCCCTTGGTATTTGTCGGTCAGCTCCCAACACCTTGCCCTCCAAAACACTTTAGAAATCTATGTGGAACTGTAGAACTCGTTATTCGGTCACTCCTTTCTCCGACATCTGCGGCGCACATTCTACGTGCGAATCGACACGAGGGTCCCAAAGTTAGCAGAAAACATAGCCGGACTATACTTGAGCCGCTGTAGCTGAATTTACAAAGAATTAGAGAAAGAGAATTTCACCCCCCTCCCTTTTTTTTAGCAGGCAGCAACTTAATTATTATGATTATTTTTCATACAAACGTTTTCGCTAGCTTGCTCTTTAGTTTTTAAAGAGAAAAAGAGTATAAAAATATATCTACTCGAATATAGGGGATATGCAACTTTCAACATTACTATCCGTAGGCCTACAATTTAATCCCAACACCACATCCTCTTTATCTCCCCCCCTTTTTTTTTTGGACCATCCCATTCGGGTAGAAAATGCAAAAGAACATGAAACCCTAAATGACAACCAAAAGAATGGATTCATTTTGTTTCATTGTGATATAAGCTAAAGGTTGTCCGCGGGTAATCTAGCTAGTATGAAAACCCAAAAGTATGGTCCATAATAAGCAATGTGTTTTAAAAAGAAAAGCCTTCTGAAAGGGCACTATTACTTTTAAAAGTGCAGTGCTTTTATTGCGCACAGTTTGTTGAAGCGAGAAACATTGTAATATTACGCTTCTGCCGCTTTGTAGTTAGGCTGCATCATATATTCTTTGTTTTTTCAGAAGATAGCCATTCACCTCTATTCCAATTTAGGAGGGCGTAGCCCTACTCAGCTAACATAACAATATATTATGTTACTATCCATTAGCTTACCATTTAAC